GTGGATGCCATGTCTGCATGGTAACTTTCCACAGCTCCTTCTCTCTCTCTCTCTCTCTCTCTCTCTCTCTCTCTCTCTCTCTCTCTCTTTCTCTCTCTCCTCTCTCCCTTTAATAATAAAACTTTCCATGTGCATGCAGTATCTGCATGGTGTGAGTAACTTTCCGCAGCTCCACACCACAGCCCACCACCGAGTCTGCATGTTGTGTCTCCCTCACCCAGTGGAGTACTGTGGCCCAACCCACCAAGGCCTCCTGCATCCCCATGCCAGCCTTTATCTTTGCTAACAGTAACAAAAGCATACTTACTCATAGGTGGGTCTGGTCTGGGACCACCCATAAAGGCTATGCACATCATAGTGCTGGACCCGGGAGCCATCAGGAAGGATCTGCTCACTCTCCATGCACAGTGTGTTGCTGCTCAGGCCTCTGTCCCTGCCTTCCAAATCTGAGGGGAAATACTGAGTTAATTTCCAGACATCTTGATTTATATGTTGGCATGTCTATCATACCAAGTCAAATTACTTGAGATTTTTAATATAGAAAAGCAACATCCTATAATTTCATAATTAAGGCTAAGAAGAATATGCAGGCTCCATGAAACATCCTCTTTTGGTCCACCTCTAACTCAATGTTTCAGATGATTTTTCACCATGACAAACTCTTTTGTTGTTAGGAATGTTTCTTCCTCTAGATGGTAATGTTCTCAAGGGAATAAATAGGCCTTGTGCAAATTAATTCTATATTGATGTTTCTAAATCTTTCTGACTTGTCAGCACTTGACTGAAAAATATTAAATTAAAGGATGGAGGAGTAAGTGAGTGGGTGGGTAGATGAATGGATGGATGAATGGATGGTTGGGTGAATGGATGGATAAATGGAGGAGACGGATGGAGATGTGATCAATAATCTAGACATTAAAAGACCTAGATTCTAGTTGCTGATGAACTGTTTATAGGGGCTTCATTCCTTGGGCTTCTTTGTGGTGAGAGGACTCAATATTCTGAGATGTCTTTGACCACAGCCTCTTATTCCAGTTTCTGGTGTAGTTAGCACAAAGAGCATCTTTCATGAAGTGTTTGAACATGGGTGGAAAGCTTGGGGACTAGATTTTCATGCTCTATTCAAATGAACCTGTGTATTGAGAGGTACACCTGCACATAGAGGGGTGTATTTACAACTTTAGCTGTGAATGCAATCAAGTGTATTGCTTAGCTTCTTTTATGACACATGTCATTATTTTTAATACTTAATTACTAACTTAGTAATTTGAATACATTCGGAGATATTCTATTTGTGAATTTTTTTTTTTTTGGTTTTTCGAGACAGGGTTTCTCTGCGTAGTTTTGCGCCTTTCCTGGAGCTCACTTGGTAGCCCAGGCTGGCCTCGAACTCACAGCGATCCGCCTGGCTCTGCCTCCCGAGTGCTGGGATTATTTGTGAATTTTATGCCATGTTGAGAGTATGTTTACCCCTGCACTCCAAAACTTTTGGCTTTATATGAGAATAAAAAGAAAGAGGATCTTGAGCAGGAAAGAACTCATACATGGCATGTAGGGTGGTTTATTGAGAATTTCATTGCGGCAGCCATTGACAGATCCATCCACGAAGTTTGAAGGCTCATTCATATCCTGAAGTAAGCAAGCAAAGAAAAGATTCTGTCAAGTCAGGGGCAGTATGTCATTTCTTCATAAAACACTAACCTCAAAGAAATGACCTTTAACCCCCCTTTATGCTTGACAAAAAAAAATGGAATCTAAAAACCCATGCCACCTTAGTGGAGTGAAAACTCCTTCCCGTTTACCTGGCCTTTTCAAATTAAAAAAAAAATAGCAAAAACACTGAGGTAACATTGGATCCTGAACCTAACAAAATTATCTCAGTCTATCCCCCTATCCAACAAACCTGTTTTAATTTTTCTATTCATAGATTATTTACTTTGTATTTATAGTCAGTGGCAATTATGATCTTTCTCTACTTTTTCTTATGGCCCTAACCTGGAAATTATTCTGGGGCTGACATAGGCTGAATATACTCTGAGCAGTTGTAGTAACTCAGAAACAAGGCTGGAAATAAAACCTTACATTACAGGATGTATAGCTCAAGTGGAAGCAGGAGAGGCCCTGAGGGACAGTGTTCATTGTCTGCCAGCAGAGTAAAAATAAAATTGGTCTATCTTAAATAAGATAATCTTAATTAAGTAAGACTACAAGCAACAGCAAGCATTTGAGACTAACTATAAATTGTTCTGTTACCCAACAACAGTTTTCTTTCTGTAGGATAAACATCTCATAGTTTTCAGAATCTCTTCTTCAAAGCTGCCTACATTTCTTCACTGTTTGACTTATCTGTTTGGATTAACTTGTGCTTTTCCACAAATCTATAATATGCTTGTGTGGCCTGAAGGTTCAAGTAGCCAGTGAGCCAAAAAGCAGCTCTGTGCGAACTGTGAGCTTCTTCTATCTGACCCAGGGTCTGGCAGCTCTTCAGAGCTGGACTGGAACTTGCTTAGGATTTCAGGGGACTAAATGTATGGGAGGAAATCATGACACTAATGAATGTGCTTCCCACCCCTAGGAAGATGCAAATGGAGGAGTCCTTTAGAGACTTTTCCCAGAAACATCCCAAGAATCCCTGCCCAGAAAACCTGTGCAACACACATTAGAACAGGCTTTTAAAGACATTCCTTCAGAGTAGTCATCTATACTAGTCCAATAGTGAATGTCTTTTGGGCTCCCAAGTTCATGCTTTGTCCATTCCCAGGCCTGCCCTGTCTTGCTGGGTGTACTTGGAGGTTTCAGAGTGGCCTTGATAGCTGGGAAACAAAGTCAAGAGACTAACCGATTGGAAATATGAGGTAACAGGATGTTCCTCCCTGTTGCCCATGCATTAGCATCCCTGTTGCCCATGTATTAGCATCTTCAGCAGCTGACAAACTTCCACAATGGACTCCTCTACTGGACATGTCCCTGGGAAGGCCAACAATAATCTTTGCTATTCCTGGTTCTAGACACTAAATTTTCTTCCTTTCAGCTGGCTATCTAGTCCTAGCTGCCTATTCCACTAGTTTGTAAACTATTTCCCTGAGTTCTGACTGCTCACATGTCCAAAGAATTAAAGGTGCACTTACGATCCACAGCCCATCAAACTTCAAGCTCTTCCCTGGCTCCCGAGGATTTGAATAGAGCTCCTCTATCTCTTTCTTCCACCATGCAGATGTGCTGGAGCGCAAGAAGTCGGGAAAAGCAACATAGGCCCTGTATAGCTGGAAGAACAACACACACTTTCATGGGAAGATCTCGTTCTGAAGCCAAAAGGGGAAATGGGCAAGCATTTAGGCCTGTCCAGTCTCTGATCTAATCTTGGTTTTGCTACTGTTTTTGCTGCATGGTTTCGAATGGACACAAAGTTGGAAAGAGAGGGAAAAGCCCTCTAATCTCTTAGGAAGAGGTAGGGTAGATTTAAAGCCCCTTGTAAGCATAGGACTTGTTTTATGACTAAACATTAACTGTGGACAATAGAAAACTATTTGCCAGTATCTAAACAGTTGAACTGTAAAGATGCATGTTTTTTTTTTGTTTTGTTTTATTTCTGTTTATTTTTTGTTTTTGTTTTTTATAGATTGCTCAAACTAAGGAGGTCCTATTTGTCTTTGGTGGGGGTGGGACAGAGAAACGCACTGAATGGTGACCAAGTGTGTAGGCTTGATGGGGTAGAAGGTGTGAAACCAAGAACTTTCCTCCTTCTAGCCTGCTCGTGATGCCTTTGGTCCTCAAGGAATTCACCAGAAACCATTTGCTTGTGCTAGTTCTCTACCAGGGAAAATATTCTAGACTTTGGTTCATTATTTTCAAGCAACATTATATTTGAATCACAAGCTAGTAAGTGCATATATAAGGGATTTCATGGATTTCTTTTTAGATCCTTCCAGTTTGGTTGCCTGTAAAGTTTTTCATTTGAGCATCTCCTCTGCTAAAACTGACCACCAGGTCAAGTTATAGCAAGCAGACTCAAGTTACAGTTACTTAACCAGAAAGGGAAAGTGCCTCGTCCACTAAGAGAAAACACAAAGCCGGGCAGTGGTGGCGCACGCCTTTAATCCCAGCACTTGGGAGGCAGGCAAATCTTTGTTTGAGGCCAGCCTGGTCTACAGAATGAGATCCAGGACAGCCAGGGCTACACAGAGAAACCCTGTTTCGAAAAAAAAAAAAAAAAAAAGAAAAGAAAAAAAAGAGAAAACACAAGCATTCAGATGTTTAGGGTGATACTTCCAAAAATTTTTGTTCACCTTTACCTTAACTTGAGTCTCATGGTCAAGGGATCCATCCACATTTACATTGGGCAAATCTGGCCAAACCTAGACAAACAAGAAAAAAATTGAAACCTTTAAAAGTTACTGCACACAAACCATGAGGTGTTCTGCCCGCAAAGCTCTAATGGAGGCAGCTCTACCATTGCCTCCATCTTCGTCTTGAACTGAAGTGTAGAGGCTGAACGTATGGAATTCACCCAGCTGACAATGCCCAGGGGTTCCTCGCTTATTCCATAAGTTCTCACATTTTAAGATTTGAACTCAAGTAACAAACTACATTTTAAGTGTACCTTTGGCACAATAATATTTCAAATGAGTCCTTGGCTCTTGTTTATATTTTATTTTTACCTATAAAAATTATTCTTTACAAATAAATGTGAAATATGATGTTAAAGACATGCTTGGTTGACATTCCATCTTGCTGCCTGACCAAGGTCAGGCCCCTCCTAAATTCCTGTCTCATTACATACTGTTGCAGGATATTTGATCATACTGTTAACCCTAAGATTGTGTTATTTACTGGAATAACCTGCTTCTCATTGTGGTGCGGCTCAACCCTAGCACATACCTTTAATCCAAGGGCTTTCTTCTTAAATAATGTAAACAGGATTAAATAAAGTAAATCATAGGTCAAGAGGCAGAGCAAACAACCAGTTGACAGGAAGTGAACATAGGATTATTAAGAAAAAGCCATAGAGAGTAAGAGGGAGTCAGGAGGACGGATAGAGAGATACACAGGAAGTAGAAGGGAGGGACATTGAATTTGAGGACACTTGATTGAGAAGCTAGTAGAGAGAATTTTCTGGGATGTCAGCAGAGGAGGAAGGTTAGTCAGGTGCTTTCTCTGCCTCTCTGAGCTAGCAGGCTTTCACCCCAGCATCTGGCTCCTGAGTCACTATTGACTATTGGTAAAAATTGAACAACTGAGATTTTGTTTAAAAAAAAAATACTCCTCCATACAAGCTTTTCAATCCTTCAGGCTTGTTCTCAATATTTTTGAGCAGTATCAATACTTGTTGAGTAGTATATGTAGAATTAACAGTCTATAGTATTAGTCAATTTTGTTTGTAACTAGCAGTACATTAATTGTATACATTGATAAATCACCAGAAAACACTAAATGAGCATTCTTCTAGAATCTATATATTCTGAAATTTCAGTAGGAAATGCTGCTTGTTAATATTATGACATGCCCCGTGATATCTCACCCCTTGGCGCCGCCCTACATCCTGACCTAAAAGTCTCTTTTTAGGAAAAATTCCGCCCCTTCCTCTCTCTCTCTCTCTCTCTCTCTCTCTCTCTCTCTCTCTCTCTCTCTCTCTCTCTCTTTCTCTCTGTCTTTCCCTTTCCTATCTTTCTCTTCATCTCTCTCTGTTATAATCAACTCTCCACGTGGATGCAGCATCCGGGTCGTGAATCACTGGCCGCTGCTGCCGCCATGCCCACTGTGCTTCCCTGGAGGTTCAGCATACCTCGGGGGTCCCCCCACGCAGTAATTCATAACACTGCTTGCTTTCTCTGAGTTCACAGAATTCTTACAAAGTTAATATGCAACACTTCCTGAGGGGAATGGCACAGAAACACTTTCTATAACACAGCTACACCAGTCATTGAGAGCTTTACAAGAGGTCAGGTGTGTCAGGTCACGTCTTGAAGTGTAAGTCCACTGGGTTAGGTGAGAAGGCAGTGTTCAAAATGGTCAGAGTGTACACACAGGACGATAGGCCAGAGCACAATAGGTTACGAGGGGAGCTTGAATCTGAGAGCTACTATCATCTGGGGTCCAGGAATCTGCCTAAATTACCATTGATATCATATCATCCATATGAGATGAGGATTGAGGCCATAGAAAGGAATCCAAAGTGACAAGATAGACTTCGTGAATTTTTTTAAGCCTGATTAAGCATCATTGGTCAAAACTAAATGCTTGTTTTTCATTTATGTGACAGAGGCACATAGAGCCTTGAGGGATTTTTAATGTTTGTTTTAAAAACCATTCTGCTAAATATAAATATGAGCAATGGGACTATCAGAATATGTGTATGCAGTTGCAGCATTCCATGTTTTAGAGAATTTGACCTGTAACTTTGAGCGTAATGCTTACTGTGCTAGGTAGCATTAGGAAGACTGCTCGTTTTGCAATGTATTCATTATACAGCATATATTTACAGAATTTATAGGGACTTCTTGTGAGGTAGATTGATTATAGGTACCTTTCTCAAGCCTTACCTTGCCCCAGACAATGTCATTGGAGTCAGGCCATTTGATGAACACATTGTTTTCCTGTCCTCGAGTAAATGTTAGATAGTGTGTCTCATTGCCAGAAATGGCTGGGTCCTGTAGTGACAGTTTTAAGATCACAAATATGAGTGAAATATCTCCAAGGAAATTCCACTCCAAAAACTGACAATTCATAATGCAGAAAGAATAGGTGACCCAAGAAGTAATACTATTTTTTTAATTAGACTTGTCTTTACTGAGTATATTATCAAAATCAATAAAATAGAACATTTTGCCAGAGGTACCCAAGGGAAGATGCATAGTTCTTAAGGGCAATCTCTTTCAAAGAGAATAAAAATCTATATCAATAAACAAAACTTCATATATTATAGAATGTACCTACCCAGAGGTATAACTAATATAATGGGGGAGGGGATTACAGAAACTGAACTACAACATGACATGAGTGATTTTTTTCCAATTATGCATAAATCCATTTAAAAAAGGAAGAAGGGAAGGAGAAATAAGAATTAAAGGAATATATTGATGGTTAGCCATAAATTCTGTATGGTTATATTTGGAAAACAATTCCAGGAGTAAACCAGATTAGTAAGACATTACCTTCAAGAGGAGGGTCCATTTCTACTGTGTAATAGCAGTATGCCTTAGGAAAGCAAACTTAATTTTATTCTGTGGTCCAACTTACTCAAATCTAACGTGGCCACTCCCACCTACTGCATCTCATACTGATCCAGCTCATCGCTATAGTATGCTGGTTCATAACTGTCACACAAAACATCACTATCTGAAATTACTTTTCTAATATTTGTCTCTTGATTGCCTCGGCCCACTGAAATACATACCTTCTTAAGAAAAGAACATTGTCTTCTTTACTAATTCAGATTCCACCCTCTCCCTACAAACACCAATGTTCAACAGATATTTGAATTAACAAGTAACAAAAGCCATATTCTAATTTTGGAAGCCGGAAGATTCACTTGCAAGTAACTAGGCTGGCATTCTGAATCTGCTTGTGAGTTCAATGAAATGTCAATAACATCCCTAAGATTCATCACTTCTGAGGATGATACCAAAATGGATTTTTAGGGGGGAGCAGAGAGGAGGTCAAACTTTTTGAGATTGTACTTTAATTACACTTCTTTCCCTTCCCTCCCTTCCCCTTCCCCCTCCCCTCCTCTCCCCTCCCTCCTCCCCTCCTCTCCCCTCCCTTTCCCTTTCCTTCTGTTCCTCCAAACCCTCCTGGTGGATACATCTATAAAACACCCCAACACCTACAACTCAGGGAACATTGCAGGAGAGTGGGTGGAAAGCCTGTAAGAACCAGTGGATCAGGAACTTCACTGTGAGATTGTGTCTCCTAGGAACATCAGAAGCTACACCCATCAAATCTCACCAACATGATTGCCAAACATGAGCTGAACAAGGAGAACACCAATGAACACACCAGACTGCACAGAGAGAAGCCCAAGGCAGTCTTTGACATCCCCTTCTTCCCTGGGAAGATATGCAACCGAGACACAGCTGTTCCACTGAGGCACAGCCAGGAGCAGGGGGGCATTTTATTTGCTACATGCATTGTTTTCTTTCCACAGGTCTAACTTTAGTAAGAGAAAATTATCAATAGATGGCTTCCAGTGGCACTAAGCTATAAAAAAAATTTTCACTTCTTTAAAGTAATTTTCACTTTTCTTTCCTACTTCATTTGCTTAAATTTAAAAAAATTATATATATATATATATATATATATATATATATATATATTTAAATGTTCACAGGAAATTTCCAAAATGTACAAGAAGTTTTCTTGTAGCTGTCATCCACTTTCTCCCAGTGGTATTATTTTGGAATCATAAAGACAGGAGCCAAAAGTCTGTCATAATACCCACCAGAATAAGAATAAACCTCATGCCATTTTTCTTCATTTGATTAATCAGGACACTGAGATTTTGAAAGCTGGAGCTGAGGGTGAAGTCCAACTTCCGGTCCATGTAATCGATGTCTACATGCTGGACGTCCTACAGGAAGCGACAGGCAAGGTGTTCAGTGGCCTGCAACAGATGTTCTGCAGGTATACTCAGTGTCCTGTAACAGATGTTCTGCAGGTACACTCAGTGTCCTATAACAACAGATGTTCTGCAGGTACACTCAGTGTCCTGTAACAGATGTT